ATTACTTTTTTTTCCAGGAAGTACAGGTGCAACTAGGATAGGAAAAATCCACTAGCCCCTTTTTATTTACGTTGGCTGCGCTTTTCACGCTGAATTGGCCTTTCAGAAGGTTTACGGATGAGACGTCGGCTTCAGTGAATTCACCAGCGGCAAATCTACTGTCCAAACAGTGTTTAACAAACTGTGGTAGTCGGTTGTGAAGATAAGTCGGTATCCTAGAATTATATCTTCCATAAGCATCACTGAACTTGAGGTTCTTTTCCAAATATCTTCTGTGCGAGTCAGGAATGAACGATTCTACCAGCATCGTTGCAATGCCATAAACTGATTTGTCAACTGATCTCGGAAGATATTCGTACTTGAACAGCTTGTTTTGCGCCTCAGTGCCGTTATTGGTGTTAACTATGTTTGTCACCTGCTGCTTTCGAAAAGCCTGTGCCCAACGAACTTTGCATGATAGCCACGTGTTGTTTAGATAGTTCTGGACATTTGGTTTTTCTTTGTAAAGCCGGGATTCTTTCAAGGCATTCACTCGCTTTTCGAATTTGTCAACTGTGTTAGCATAGGTGATGCTCTTCATATGCTTTAAAAATATATCTTGCTCAGCAGACGAAAGGCCATTCTTCTTTGACTTGGACCAGCGGTGCATTGCTTGTAATCTGTGGAAATCACAAATGTACACCAAACTTTTGGGGAATTGTTGTTCGAGGGCAGCGATTTCTGCATTGGAATAATCCACCATGAAGTACGCCGGATTCCACGCTGGGTTCCATCCCTTGATTATGGCAAGTGCTTCACTTATAAAGGCTTGATCTTCGGACTGACAAATGAATTCAGCCACAATCTTGTATCCCACGTTGGTATGTACACAAACGAAAAAAAGTGGAATTGCGTACCTTGTCGTTTTGTACGTGGCGTCCATCAGGGCCAGTTCACTACCATATCTTTCAAGCATTCGTTGTTGCCATGGCTCTTGATGTACAAAGAGGAAGGTTTCCTCAGGAGTTCTAGGTCTTGGTTAATCTTTTTCGTTAATGACAGCGTCTCTGGCTCGGTAAAAGAAGTTGCTTTTGGGAGACTTAGTTTGCCAATCTTCTATTTTTTTACCCAATGCTTCTTGGTCGTCATCGCAATACTTCACTGCTGAAATCGCCTTGGCAATGTGGTTTCGTAAGTCCTGGCGACAAGGGTAGTATCGCCTATTTGTTTTCTTTGGCCATCGTTCCTCGGGATGGCCGGAAAATAGATCCTCCCGAACGAAAGAGACCTTTGCACCTCAGAAAGGTTAGTTATGTTTTGCTTTACGAGGTCGTAGATTTTGTCAACTACACGTTTATCGACGTATTGTCCTATCGTGGACGAGTCCCCGACAGGGTGGTTGACATGGGAGGAGCTTAACGGGATCTTTACGTGGAACCGAGTCGAAGTACGGAAATTAAACCCTAAGTCACTCTTCGATTTGGCATTGATTTATTTTAGAATAGCCTTCTTAGCCATCGCCAAGCTATTATCTGATAGGAACTTTGCTTTGTCGACGAAGTAATCGTTGTACACCCGAATACATCGAATCTGCATGACTGCCGGGGACTGTATGGGGACATTTCCGTGGTTGTTTTCAAATACGGGAGGTGCTGTCAAATGAAATCAGATGGAGTTGTTAAGCAACATGCCTCATTTCCGGTTTACGTGTAAAGGTGATAAGAAGAGCCAGACATTTGACCCAAACCTTTGCACAAAGCCACTGTTCGCTTTTTTTAAACCAAATAGACCTTTGAAGTAGAGATAAATGACTAAAAAAAAAAACAACAGCAATAACAACAAACACAAAGAAACTAAAATGAAATATAAATAGGTAGTTGAGACGCAGCATCTCGCAAATCGCGTAAGACTGCCTTTGAAGAAATTTACCATAAACTCTGAAAGACGGCGATTCTTCTCAATTAAATTATCCCTGAATTAGGAGAGTCAGGATAGGAAACCGGGATCTGTGCACTTCAAAACATTGAGAGATTATATACCTGTTTGAGAAAATCTATTGTGGTTTTTCTCTTTTGAATGGCTTTCTGTAAGTACATAACACGTGGAGTTCAACGCCTGAAATGAAACTAACAGATCATCCATCTCTGCTCTGTTTCCCTCGAAATATCCAAAACAATAATTGCCTTCAACAGAAAAGCCATTGAGATGTTCTTTCAAAAAGTCGATCTCTAAATCTCTTAACATTGTTGGCTTTTGGTCTTCATCCATGGCAAAATCTTCCAGGAAAAGCAAACTACAGTGCGAAAACCAAGTTCGTGCCAAATTTGATTGACATTTTTGACAACCGGAAATCATGATACCTTTTTTTCGTCACGCACGTCACGCAGGTAGCTATAAACCATATATGTAATTATTCTTGGTGCCTTTCCGAATGCCACTGACGCCCTCTCCGAAGCCTCCATTGTTTATTAAAGCAGTAAAAGATATGAGTTCAATCAACACTTTTGAAAAATTGCTTAAACTGTGAAGTAAACTGTTAACATTTCGGCTTTACAACACGATTGTCTCTGGAACAACAAATTATATGTCTCTATATGAAGTATAAAAGCTGTTTCACCGCTGACCACTCATATTTGGGTCGTTTTTTCTATCCCCGCTCGTCGCCCGTGATGTAGTTGGAGTGATCTCTTTCCTTGCGTGACCGCTCTGCCCTAAGATTCTCAAATTTGTAATTCTAATTTTTGCAACTTCTCATGATACTATGCATTTGAACCTCAGGGCTGTATCGTCACGTCACGAAAGATAACGCAAGGTGGGTTAAACACGAATTGCAAGTGATAAATCCTAAAGTGTGGGCTAGATTTTTAGCCACAAGCGTATTAAACTTACATTAGCCAAATTTCTATTTAGCTTTTTTTTTTTTCTCACCATAAAAGTTACGCATTTTCCTCTCAAAGGTCGCTGGCAAACTGTCTCTTTGGAGGTGAAATAAGATCGTTTAAACGTCAGTGACTGCGATGCTGAAACTCAAATATCTGACATGTCTTACCTCCTAATTTTATCTGTGTTTTCATATCCTTCGATGCCTATTTTCTCTTCGTTCTTGGCTGCTTCTTCGACTGTTTTCTCAAATTCCTTGTCTCTCGTATTCATCAGACCTTTGCATTTTGTTTGGGCCTTTTCTTCCTCTTGAATTTTCTGTTCTTCAAAGAAACTTCGCTTTTTACTCAGGCCCTTACCCTACTAATCATGACCTTTCCTGCCATGTTTGGCTTGCTCTAAGCGGGATTTCGGGTTACTTTAATTTTTCGATTTGTTATGTACCATCTCTCTATATTTCCTCGAGGCCTTTCCAGCTCGTCTCTTTCGCGCGGTACTTGAATCGTTTTTCGTCGGGTAATTCTTGCTCTCTGCCTCTCTCTCACTTTCCAACCTAATGTAGCGTCTTTACAACAGTTCATCAAAGTCTGGCCTTGATCGGACGACAGGATCACTAAATCCTGGAAGAGTATTGGTGTCAGCGCCTTTATTATTCCTTCCACTTCAAAAAACGTGGCCTTAGTTTGCAATTCATAATGAACAGTCTTATCATCGGGGACGATAAGCTCCCTCGTGCGCAGATAGTTCAGGATATACCGGAAGTGGGTTCCATCTCGATCAATGAAGTAGGTTCCATCCTTGTCAGGTTTTGTGTCAAACCTTCCAGAAAACATGGCATGTAAAATGGAACCTGGATGAATAAGCACACAAATTAGCGTTAGTTACATTTGATTCAAGTCAAAATAGGTCGTAATTATTGAGATAAGGTACCACAATGGATAAGTTTATTCCATGGAAGACTTTTCTTTTGCTTTTTATCTCCATCTGTTTCTGCATTTACGTTTCCCCATTTAGGCTTTTTTTTCCATTTTTGATGTCCAGCCAACGTTTGTGCTGTTAAATTTCCCATGTAAGTGATCCACGGAGAGTGAAGTTCCATTTGTCTTTAGGCAAGGGATCTAGGTCATGGTCTGTGCCTCTGGTATCGTGCCCACACGCTCGCAGCTCGTCAGTCGATTGCAATCAGTACCAGTCTTCACCATTCTTACCAACTTTAATTCTGTCACGCAGCATCTGTGTCGCTACACTTGACGTAAACTTGGTTGCATTTCTCACCTACGTAGTTTTGCGCGCAATCAGCTGTCATGCAATCTGGACCTGCAGTCAATGTTAAGAAAGTTACTAAACAATAAAGAGGTGCCATCCTTTGCTTTGCTTCCTTGAAACTTGTGGGGTATTGCGCTTGCCGTTATGTTCTTGGGAACGCCCAGTTTTGGCATCTTGAAGAAAACGAACAAATCTAACAAAAATCGACAAAATACACGGATAATTTAAGTAGTTTTCCAGATTTATCAATGGCACAAACTTGAAGATGCTAAATCTTTGCGACGTCGAAATGATCATATCAGGACGATGCCTGGAACGAAGTTCTATACGAATACCTCACCGAGCCAATACGTTTCACGAGGTTTTATAAGGTAGAAGATCATAATTTTTTTTTTTTTTTAACAGAAGAAAGCCTTTGAGCCAAGCTCTCTAGCTGATTGAATTTTCATCAAGATGTGAAGCTTCAATTTCCAGAACAGGAGGGAACTACGTCACACTACTAAGTTATTTTGGCAACTTTCGAAGTTATCTTTAAATCAAAGGAAAGCACACAAGATTAGTTTGTTAGGGTAAAACGCGTGAAAGTGGTAAAATAAAATATATAACAACAAGGATGATTGGTAATGGAGAAGACTAATCGGATTTAATTTTACAAAATTAAAAAATGAAGATATTAGATATATGAAAATTTCACATATTTGCACTGCGGTGGAGAGATGAAATTAGGAGATCCTCGCAGCTAAGAACACTACTGAAACGAGTAGTTGTAAATAGGACCTGAAAAAAATTCAGGCCCGTACGGCCAATTTTCAAGAATGACAAATCTTCCAGAAACTTAAGGAACTAAGATGACAATGAATATTACAAAAAAAAAAAAAAAAAAAAAAAAAAAAAAAAAAAAAAAAAAAAAAAAAAAAAAAAAAAAAAAAAAAAAAAAAAAAAAAAGATTATCTCACTGAAGCTAGTGTGGCTTTTTAAAAATGCTCAAAAATAGCTCCGTGCCAAGAGTGTCAGCTACCGCGCTTACTTTTTATTTTTGTTTTTTTCCATATATTATACTTACATATGTACTTACACTATACTTACTTCTTACACGATGCTTACACTACATTAACTTGCATTACTTACAATACATATATTACAATACAATTACACTAGTCAAATTGAATTACAATTGATCTATTTACGTTATTGTTTGCATGTTAATTGTTCGAGTCACTAAAAATAATTTTGTTTGTTAATTACACTACATAGGGTATTTCTGGATTTTCTAGATTTTCTAGAATTTAATAGATTATTAAATAAATAGGTAAGGAAAAGAAACAAATCAAAATATAAAAGTTGATAAGAAAAAGGACACAATACAATTTTTTTAAAGACGAAAACATTTCCATTTGTTCCTGAATTCCTTCTTCTTATTACAAGTGACTGCAATGTATTTTTCTAGATTAATTTTTTCGTGCAGAAGTGAGACAAAATCATCGAATTGGTACGTTATGGTATTTAAAACCTTAACATATAAGAAGTATTTACCCAAAATAATGAGATGGTTGAGGACTAAACAGCAGGTGCGACAGCGAATAATTCCAAACATAACCTCTAGTTCTGACAGCAGCAGTTTCGTATTACTAGAGATTGAGTACCACTCCCGGAATCTAATCCAAAAAGAACTTGCGTGCATGCAGTTTATAAACAAATGTCACAGGGTCTGACACTCAGAAGGACAAAAGGGACAGGAGGGCGAGGCAACTTTTTTCATTTTTGTGTAACAAGCTATTCGTTGGTAAAATTCGGTGCATGATTTTGTATTGAACATCGTCAATTTAATTTCTCTCGTGGCTTTGAATGATAGGAGGTAGATTCTAGTCAAGTCACTTTTCTCGGCGCCAGACTCTAAAAGTTTTTTTCTCAGAAGTTGGTGGAGGAAGATCTTTAAGGTTAAGCAGCATACTGTATATAGTCTTGCATGACAGTGAACAGATTGAGGTAGGAGGCGTAACTGGGTCTTTGGAACCTTCTTGCAATATTTTCTTCTAATTTTGGGGAATAGAAGAAAGAATGCTGTAATATTGTAAAAAGTTACATTTTACATTGAATTTATTGCAAAAAGAATTAAATGGAAGGATATGGCCCT